CGCTCCTGAGCTGCAGCCAGCAATCAGGGAGCTAGCTATGTCTTTGCCTTGAATTTGCAATGACAAGGGGGCAGGGAGATGGGATCGCACAGAAGAGCTGTGTGAAGGGGAAGGAGAGAGACTAAGAAAAAAGCCATGCAGTTTTTAGGAGATACTGAACCAGCATTTAGGTCAGGCCCAGCAAAAATGTGTCCAGAACGCTGTTTGTGCTGATCCTTTCACAAGGCTAAACCCTTTCTGTGTCCTGAATGGCTGCTAGAGCCTAGCAGGGAACTGAAATGGTTAAGCACCATCAATGAGATGTTAAAGAATGTTCAATGGCTGCTTCCCACCTCTGGCATTAATCTGCAGGCTACAAGAATTTATTGCACACCCTTTGACTGAATACAGAGCATGAACCGCTGCATCACCTGGGCTGCTGTGGTGCTGACTTCACAACATGCTGTGCTCATACACCAGCAAGGGAGACATCTTACCAGAGAATGGCATGAGAGGTCTGTTGGAAAGAAGAGGTTTCCCTTGGAAAACACATTTTTTGTCATTTTAACCAGAGTCAGTGAGGCTTTTTATACTCCGTAGTATAACTGAAGAGAAACAGTAGTATTCATCAAGGATACGACAGGGAAAAAATGAGCCTAGCACTTAAAAATCAATTAACTTTCCCTATCAAATCAGAATACTTCTTTTCAGCATGATTCCACCACCAGGGTCAGGTGCACTTGCAGAAGAACATTTGCTAATTCAGGTAAGGAACTGTGTAAATGAATGGCCAAAATGAGCATGCGAGCAAGGCTGAAAAGAGTATTTGCACTAGAAACCAATGTAGCAATCTGAATTAATTAAACCAGAGTATTAGTCAAATGAGATTCTTCCATCTTTAAGAGGAAGCTTTGGTGGAAAACATCCATATAAAGCTTCGAAGAGCTTCGATGCCCTTTAAAAGGAAGATGACTATACACTGTAAATACAGAGGAGATGAAAATCCTATGAAACATCAGAACTCCAGGACTGGTTGATACAGATACAGTAGATCCATTTCAGCTATTGGAATGAGTATTTCTAGAAACCACGCTGATAGATTTGTCTTTATATGAACTGTAGGTGCAAGCTATAACAACAGAAGCTTCCTTTATATCAAAAAGGATCCACAGTGGGGTTTGCACTTCTGCAAAAGAATCAGTTCTCCATAAAAATAATTATAATTTAATTTTAATTAAGCTGATGCTTAAGCTGAAAGAAAATAAGTTAAAAAAAGAAAAGAGAGAAGAAGAAAAAATCAACCAGAAAAAAGCAGCAAGGTCTAGGAAAAGTTAATAATGATTTATAACCATTTGAAAAAGGAATACTGAATTGTTACTGGAGAGATTCATTTATTTATCACGGATACTCTGGGGGTAGTGCAAAATGCAGGAACACATAGTTGAATGCTCACTACATAGTTTTTCTAAGTTACAAGAATTTTTCGTTATGAAGGTAAATTGGCACATGAATTAAAAACTGATTTTGACTATACCTCTCCAGATTGGACTTTGTTAGAATTGGGAATTAAAAACTGACTTAGACTATACCTCTCCAGATTGGACTTTGTTAGAACTGGGCACAGTTTTCAATGGAAACATCACTTTTTACTACAACATTTTACTGGTTTGTATTAAATTTGACAACTACCTTCAGTCCAAAGAAAGCAACAGGAGACATTAACTGTGTCATTTTCAAAAGATATCCTTTAAGTCAAGACATTTTCATTCTAATTTACTTGCTCTTTAATAATCAAAAGGAATTAAGGCTCCCCAATAACAAATGAAAACATTTTTTCATTGCATGTTTTACCTCCTCAAGGATCATTCTTTTTAAAATGTGCTAATACTGCAGCAGAAGACACACACACCCCCCACCCCCCAAAAAAAGGCTGACCTGTTATCATCACCACTTTATGCAGCCAGAATATAACTCCTGCCAGCAGGGCAGTAGCATAAAACAAGTGCAAACTGTTAACTCTTTACTATTTTGAAAGCAGTTCAACACAATCAATAATAAAACAACCATCTGAATTGGCTGACCACATCCAAAGTACTTTGTGGTATCGTGCAATGATTTTTAAAAAGATCTTTTGACTTGAAATAGCAAGGGCTGAGGTTTTTTTTTCTTCTGAATTTGTAGCATGTCCTTCCAAATTCTTTAAAAGTTGGTGTGGGAGAATATAATTTTTAATCTGATTAGGGAAATGGGGGAAAGTCATATTGCAAGAAAGGCCAGGAGTGTGCATGCATGCACATATAAATGCAGGCACACTCATCTCCAGATAACTTTTTTTCATCCTTGCCACTTCATACCCCATAGCTGTTAGTCTTTAATTGCCTCATCAGCTTCTTTGACCTCATGCATGCAGATAGATAAATGTTATATTAGGATGGAGGAAATTCTGACAATAAGTTTACAAACCTGAGCCAAATAAAAATGTGGCTTCTCCTCAACTCACTTCCCTACAGTTCGGTTTTTCATGATAGCTAATATTCCCCCACAGGTTCATATTCGTACTGAGTTGTGAATATAAGCAGTAGATTGTAGACACCCCTCAATCCTGTTCTGGCCCACTGATTTTGTCAGCAGTAGGTAATCAGCAGGTCTTTTGCCCTTTTCAGTTCAGGGATCTTTTCTCCATGCAGCCGCAAAACATGACATGTTATCATTGATCAGTCGTGTCCTGCTCTGCCTGGACAAACTACAGTGAGATGGGCGGTTTCTCCTCTCATCGCTATTATAAGCAATGCGAATTTCTGTATATGTGAGTTTCTGCGGTGCAGCATATTCACCTCAAATGACTAACAATTTACATAATTATTCTTGGTGTAGTCAAAGGCTGCCCAGCCTTGCTTCTGAGCTGTACATTCAGGTGAAAGAAGAATGAGTTGCAGTATGTCCTGCTTCAGAGACTCCACAGT